AGCTTTGGGGTGGATGCCAAGGAGGGAGGAGACAACATTTGGGACACCACACTTGGCCTGTAGCCTTGTCCTCATGGAGGACCTCAGTTGAGGAAGCTTTCTGGAGGAAGAGGCTCTTGGAAAAGGGGTCCAGAATTGGAGATTTAAGAAGGAAGTTGAGTGTTTGGTGGAGAAAATCGTCCAAACTCTTTCTGGTCTGAGGTCCTCCAAAGATGGAGAAGTGGGGTTTCTTCCCCGCTTGAGCACCAAGCGGGTCCCCAGAGGAAGGACCCCCTCGGGGCCCTTCTCCCTCTCCCAGTTCCCTGCCCTGCCTCCGTGCAGTTGGAGGTCTGGCAGCCAGGTGCTTCGAGCAAGCACCCCCGCCGAGGGCAGAGGGGCCTCCAGCTAGAGCCAGGCTTCTGGGCACCAGAAGCCCCTTTCCTGATAGAATCCTCACTTTCCCGTCTGCCAACTCGGCTTTTTCTCACTCTTGTTTTGCGAAAGCCCTTTTCAAATCCTCCTCCTGACCTCTCTTGTGTTTCATCCCACTCTCCCTCCTGCCGATGCCTGCACACCCTTCCTCCCTGCTCCCGGCCGGATTTCTGGACCTTTCACCACTGCCTCCTCTCTCTGCACTCCTTCCACCTTCTCCTCGGCAACTCTTTAGACGAGTTGTATTCCCAGAAACTCAAGTACAAAGCCATCAGCGAGGAGCTGGATCACGCCCTCAACGACATGACCTCCATGTAAATGGCGCCCTGTTTTCTGCCTGCGCCTGGTGTCTCAAGTCAGCCTTGCGAAGTCAGGCGGTGCTTGCTCCTGTCCTGTCCTGCACGTTGTACGTGTGAGCGTGCTCTTTAAGCACCCTCTGTTTTTGCAATTTTTCCAGTCCTCAGTGGACTGGCACAGAATGCAATTGGCAGGCAGCGGGTGGCATGGCCCCCCTATTCGTGCAAATACTGTTGAGTTTGCCCTGGGCTTCAGCAGCTTTTTGGAGTCATTCAGCAGACTCTCCAATGAAAGGGCCAGAGAGCAACAGTCATTAACGCTGTGAGATTATTCTGAATTAAGGGTGGGGGAGCAAGCATTTTGCCT